AAAAAAAAAAAAAAACCTGGAGAATGAACTATGAGAAAAAAATCCATTCCTCATCACATGGGAAGAGAAAGACTATTTTGTACTATTTACAACATACAGCATTAGAGCTTTAAAACTCCATAAGGACTTTATCTTCTCTGTGAAGACACTATACAGAATCTTCATAAACTGGAATTGTTCATTTTTTCTTTTAAATGGCACTTTTCTCTATCCCTAAAACAGTATTTTAGGATGATAAATCTGAGTATCTCTTTCCCCTCTTTATATCAATATATTTATTTATATGTAAGAAACGTGTGTGTGTGTGTGTAGGTGATAATGGTTGAACAGTGGTTCCCAAAAAGATATTTCCATGTTCTAACCTGAGGAACCTATAAACGTGATCTTATATGGAAAAATGTCTCTGAAGAAGTAATTAAGTTAAACATCTCAGGAGGAGGACATCATTCTGGATTATCTGGTGGATGCTAAATCCAAGTTCTTACAAGTGCTACATGGAGGAGGGACATACGGAGCAGAAGGCCATGTGAAGATGGAAGAAGAGGTTGGAGTTATGTAGCCACAAACCAAGGAACATCTGAGGGTACCAGAATCTGAACAAGGTAAAGAAAGAGTCTCCCTTAGAGCTTCCAAAGCAGTATGGCCCTACAAACATCCCAGTTTCAGACTTCTGGCCTCCAGAACTGTGAGAAAATAGATTTCCAGTTTCGGGCTTTTTTTTTTTGTTTTTGGGGGGTTTTTTTTGAGACAAAGTCTCGCTCTGTTACCTAGGCTGGAGTGCAGTGGTGCCATCTCAGCTCACTGCAACCTCCATCTTCCAGGTTCCAGCAATTCTCCTGCCTCAGCCTCCGGGACAGCTCGGATTACAAGTATACATCAGCATGCCCAGCTAATTTTTATATCTTTAGTAAAATGGGATTTCACCATATTGGCCAGACTAGTCTTGAATTTCCGACTTCAAGTGATTCGTCTACCCCAGCTTCCCAAAGTGTGCTGGGATTACAGAAATGAGCCACCGTGTCTGTAGTTTTAGCCATCAAGTTTGTGGTCATTTGTTATGACAGCCCCAGGAAGCTAATACAATATGTAAAGCTTTCTCACAAAATACTAAGTATTAAATAACTCAAACTCACTAAATACACATGTGAGTTTTTAGAGGCACATATTTAAAATAATTTGAAATACAAAAAGTAATTGGAATTTTTAAAGCTTTAGACACTAAGGTTGTATACAAATAGTTTAGCTGGAGTAAATTCAACCCGAGTGATTCAGCCATAACTTGATCAATATAAAACCAAGGGAATAGTAAATGTGTAAGGACAAACTGTTTTTCGTTATTCATTCTGCCAACCACTGTGACTTTACACTTAATCAAGTTGAATGGAAACTAAAAGACACTTCAATAGGTCAGAGAATTATAGGGTTACCTTGCATTTTTTCTTACGATGCTTTAACGAGGGTGGTATTAACCAGGCAAAAAGTCCTCTTAGAAGAGCCTGATGTTCTGGTTCAGATAGAGGTCCTTTCAGTGAATTCAACCAAGAAGACACAAGTGGTTCCCATCCTAACTGTGAGGGCTCCAAATAAATCATACCACAACGGCTTACAGTGGCGGGCTAGAGAAAAAAGACAAATCTTTTTTTTTTCTACTGTTGCTTTTATACTAGTGGCAGCTGGCAATTATCAACTACTTCTTGGGATGACTTATGAGGCCCTTCACAATCTAGCTCCCATCTGCCTCACATAGCTTCACGTAAGTCTAGATGTTCCCATGCAGAAAAATATTTGCAGTTCAGTTCCCCAGACACATGGCTCCATGTCTTTTAACATTATCTTGATTTGGAAATGCTTACGATTTCCAAATCCAATCTCCCTGGAGAAGTCTTACATCTTTCTCAAAATCACATCAAACACTCAGTCACCTTCCACAGTGCTCTTCTAACCCTCCTCCCTACAGATGCTCACTCCTCTCCACACTCTTAAAGCACTAACATGTAGCTGTGTATTGAGATTATTTATTAGGATGCTTCTCATCCTCCCTCAACAAGCATATGCTGTGTCTTATTCATCTTTGTATTCCCAGTACCTAACCTGTTTTCTGACATATAATAAAAAATACTTATTGGCTAAATTAATGAAGAAATGAACAGACTGCTATTGTTTTAAATTATGAACTTACAGATGCCTGGGAAAGGTCCATTGTTTCAAAGATGAGGCTCATCTGGGGGGACATCTGAATGATTTCTCCACTCATAAGGCAAAGCTAAAGGCAATTATTTTTAAAACATTTATTTTTAAAACTTTCAAGCTTCTCAGATAAAAATTTATACTATCTATAAGATAAAGTAGCTCCTGTGATATAATGAAATAAGAATTAGAATGGAAGCCAGAAATCTTAGTTCTAGATCTAGCCATGTTACTACTGCTAAGCAAATACTGAGTCTCAGTCTCTTCATCTATAAAACAGGAATAATATCTCTCTTGTAGAATTGTGAGAAGGGAAACTATTAGACAAAGTCCAAAACCTATAAAATCCTAAATAAATATCAGTTATTAAGAAAATTAAATGAGTCCGTGATCTCAGCACTTTGCAAGGCCAAGGCGGGCAGATCACGAGGTCAGGAAATCGAGACCATCCTGGCCAACATGGTGAAACCCTGTCTCTACCAAAAATACAAAATTTAGCTGGGTGTGGTGGTACACGCCTCTAGTCCCAGCTACCTGGGGGGCTGAGGCAGGAGAATCGCTTGAACCTGGTAGGCGGATGTTACAGTGAGCCGAGATCATGTCACTGCACTCCAGCCTGGTGACAGAGTAAGGCTCCGTCTCAAAAAAGAAAAGAAAAAAAGAAAATTAAATAAAATGCTACTGAATTTATAAAGTTACCATAGACCTTCTTATTAAATTAAAAAAATAGAGACTAGCATAATGAGTACTCATATACCCTCCTCTTAGATTTAATCAATGTTAAGATTTTGCCATATTACCATTGCCTTTTTAAAAAACTTTTTTTTGGAGATGGGGTCTCACTCTGTCGCCCAGGCTGGAGTGCCAGTGGTGTGATCTCAGCTCACTGCAACCTCTGCCTGCTGGGTTCAAGCAATTCTTCTGCCTCAGCCCCCCAGTAGCTGGGACTACGGGTGTGTGCCATCATGCCTGGGTAATTTTTGTTTTGTTTTTCAGTAGAGACTAAATTTTTAGTAGAGACTGGGTTTTACCATATTGGCCAGGCTGGTCTCAAAGTCCTGACCTTGTGATCTGCCTGCCTCGGCCTCTCAAAGTGCTGGGATTATAGGTGTGAGTCACCATCCTCAGCCTTAAAAAACATTTTTAAAGAGCATTACAGACATCATGGCATTTCACATCCAAATGCAAATGTCTCAAAAAGAAATATATTTTCTATGCTATCCAATATTATCACACCCAACAAAATTAATAATTCCTTATCATCTACTACTCAAATTTCCTCAGTTGTACCAGAAATGTCTTTTCAATGAATTTATTCAGAGCAAAATTCAAAGACTATGTATTGAGTTTTTTATGTCTCCTTGGTCTCTCTTAATCTAAAACATTTCTTCTTTTATTAAATGTGTCAAAAACTGAATTTATCAACTGTTTCCTTTCTCTCAAATTTCTATCTTCTCTGTTATTATTAAAGCCATCCTATCTCGTCAATCTCTTTGGCTTGTACCTTTGGAATTGTCATTAGCTGTTTTGTTTTGCTTTTTGGGTTTTTTGTTGTTTTTGGTTTTGTTTTGTTTTTTTGGGTTTTTTTTAGACAGAGTCTCGCTCTTGTCACCCAGGCTGGAGTGCAGTGGCATGATCTTGGCTCACTGCAACCTCCACCTCCTGGGTTCAAGCAATAATTCTTCTGCCTCAGCCTCCTGAGTAGCTGGGATTACAGGCATGTGCCACCATGCCCGGCTAATTTTTTGTATTTTTAGTAGAGATGGGGTTTTACCATATTGGCCAGGCTGGTCTCGAACTCTGGACCTTGTGACCTGCCTGCCTCAGCCTCCCAAAGTGCTGGAATTACAGGCATGAGCCTCCATGCCTGGCCATCATTACCTTTATTAACTTGATACCTAAATTGATTTTATTACTAAGTCTTTGAAATTCTTCCTCTACATTTAGTTTTCAGTGTTTCCTCTCTGCTTTTACAATCATCACTCTAGTTCCAGTTTTGCCCCATCTAGTTCACAAGTCAACAATGAGAAATTTAGCATTTGTGGATTCCGTTTCCTAGCTGCAAAATGAATGATGTAGAGCTGGATTGTCCAATATGGTAGCCACTAGCCATATATGGCTATTTATATTTAACTAACTAAAACTAAAAGTTTAAATTCAGTTCCTCAACTGCACTAAGCCACACTTCAAATGCTCAGTAGCCACATGTGACTAGTGGCTACCTTATCAGAGAACTCAGGTAGTTTCATTATTGTAAAAAGTTCTACTGGACATGCTGGTCTAGAACATTTTTAATCTTTGACCAGATGATTTCAGCAAACATCCTCCTACTCTCCACAAATTTGAAAGGTAGGGTCAGCATTCTCCTCACTGTCCCATGTGGTTTCCCAACTACTTCTATTCCACCCCAGTGACAACCCTTGCTCCTTTGACAACTCCTGCTTTTTTGCTGCCACTCAACAGCACCCAATGATTCCCTCCTCCATAGATAAAGGCCCAATCTCTCTCTTCACTGTAACTCTTGCCTGCTCCAGTGTTAAAAAGACTGAGAATCTCAACGCAGCAGCCCATCAGAACCTTAACTACCTTGCTCCACTTCAGCCATCTACTTTATATATCCGGGACCATCTCTCCTAAAATATTACACAATTCTGAAATATTAAATTCAAGTATCTTAGTCTCTGCCCATAGCCTCCAATCCATCCACTTATTTCATTCATTGTCTCCTGCTATACTTGCTCTTCATTTTCACAACATTTTCACATCCCTGATGTTTTTACTTCTTTCATTAGGCAGCTTCTGTCCTATGGTCTAATGCTTCTACCATTCTTATGTCAATATCTTACTGTATGTCTTACTGTATGTCCAGGCCTGAAATATTACCCATGCTTAAGCTGCTTAGACTGGTAGAGGGTATCTCACAAAGGCAGACGGTGGTACTACTACTACTAATGTATGATCTTCCACTCAATCGGGCTCTCAGAGCTACCCAGAAATGTTTCTATGTTTTCCTAGGGAGCTCTTTCCCATCTTCCACAATGGCTAATTTTGCAAAGAACCAAGGCCCATCACTTCACAAAGAAAAGAGAAATCATCAGAAGGATTTGCCTTCAAATTTCCACAATCAAATACATACACTCACCTGTAACTCTCTCTTCGTAATTTCCTCTCATGTAACAAGAGACAACCCACTCACTTGGCTCTGAATTCTTAGACTTCACTCTCCAATTAGAATAACTTTTCTACTTCTTGTCTATTTATTTTCCACCCTCAGCTCAACCACTACTACTAAATGAATGAAGCAATGTGAATGACCAAACACCTATAATAAAGTGCTTGAGTATAGCTTCTTTTTTTTTTTTTTTGAGACAAAGTCTTGCTTTGTTGCCCAGGCTGGAGTGCAGTGGTGTGATCTCAGTTCACTGCAACCTCCTCCTCCCAGGTTCAAGTGATTCTCCTGCCTCGGCCTCCCAAGTAGCTGAGATTACAGGCACCCACCACCACACCCAGCTAATTTTTTAAAGTTTTATTTTAGTAGAGACAGGGTTTCACCATGTTGCTCAGGCTGGTCTCAAACTCCTGACCTCAAATGATCTGCCCACCTCCGCCTCCCAAAGTGCTGGGATTACAAGCGTGAGTCACTGCGCCTGGCCTTGAGTATATCTTCAAATGCTAATTAAATGAGTTTGCTTATTTAGTAGTATAGTCATTTCATGTAAATATGAAAATAAATTGTGATATATTCACACACTAGGATACTAATAGATATAAAAGGCATAAGTTAATGAAACTGAACTACAACAATATAAGTATCACACATATATTGATTTTAAAAAAAGAAAAACACTAAAGAGTATGAGTTCATTTACATGAAGTTCAAGAGCTGGCAAAACTCATTCTTCATAGAAGTCAGAAGAGTGATTATCTCTAGAGGAATATATACAAACTGGGAAGGAACATAAGTGAATCTTGTAGGGTATAGGAAATTTCATGTGTCATTTTTTAGGCTGACGATTATGAATGTACAAATACATTTTTAAAAATCACAGAATCTATACTTGATATTGGTGTACATTTGTACAATTTATATATGTTGTCTCTCAATTAAAATAAATATTAGAATACTTTCACTTGCTAGTTATTTTGTATATCTCATAGCCCCTAAGGTGATATACTATATATAAACACCGAAGCATTTCATGTTTTCAGAAGGTATGAGGCTTTTGTTATTTCCTCCTAAAATATTAAAGTTCTATAAGAAACCATAAGACTAAAGCCACTTAACTTATTCTCACCTGGATTACTATGCCTTCTGGCTAACACGGAAATTTTAATGTAACACTTTCATTCTATAAAAAAAAATTAAGCCAAGGACTTAATTTTTACTACTTACTTACTATAGCACAGTTTTCATTGAAAAGCGAATTTATAAACCTCAACTTGCTGCATCCTTTATTATATTTCATTTTTGCATTCTTTAAATAGGGTCTTAGCTGATTAGTTGCTAAACACATAAAATTGCTTAATCATGGTTGATTCTGCTGCTCTTTTGATCATGATTTACCTTTTTATTATCATCCAATACTGTGTTCATGCTTTCTATCCACAAAGTGTCAATAGGACCATCAAATACAACCCATTTCCGGTCAGGTGTTTCTGACAAGGCAAATTCTCTAAAAGTGTTAGCCACAATACCATCAGTCCACTGAGGGGGAAAAAAAAGAATTAAAAAGCTCTCTTCATAAAATTCTATTTAGGAGTGAAACTGAAAATACTTCACATTTCTTGCTTTAACACACACTTTCCATAAGAGTTGAGAATGTTTATATTTAGGTTACCTCATGAGACACTGGGTCAAACTGTCCAAAAAGTTGGCCCATGGTAATAGATTTGGGGTTTACAGTTCTATAAATGACCTTTTCTTCCTCTCCATAGCCATGTTCATTCATTAAAGTTAGCGTATCTGCCAGCACGTGCAGAACTTTTGTCTTAGCAGCAAAAGGCTCTCCTACTAACATAAAACTATTAAGGAAAAGAAATAATTATACAATAAGAGTCTTTAAAAAGTTAAATTATTTATATCAGCATATGAAACTTCACCTTGTGATAATTATTACTTATAATTTTTGAAATCATATGAATTTTTCTCAGACATGAGGAAAACATACTTAACTTCTGAACTGGTTAAATCAAATTCTTCACACTAAAATTATTTTCTTCAAGAGAATAAAGAATTTCCAAAAGACAATGAAAACTTAATATCTGTACACTCTAACTAACCTGAACTAAACTCAACCTAACGCCCCCTAAGGAGAGAAATGGAAAAGATTTATATTCCCAAAGCCTTCATTTGCTATAAAATTATTAGTGCTCTTTACTATTTCTGGATCTCCTCCTTCCTGATACATATAGGATTTCTGGCCCTCTTGTGGAAAGACTAGGTAACTAGTTCTAACCAATTAGTAATAAATGGAAATGATGGGTATTACTTCCAAGCAGGGGTAGCTAATTGCCAGCTAGAGACCTTACAGAGATCCCTTTTCCCTCTAGCACAGCTATGACCCACAAAGTTAAGGTGGTGCTTACTCTAATAGGCTGGGCCCTGGGTGGTCATAATGAACAGGGCTGCCCTGCTAACATACTATGGACACAGTACACATGAGAAATCTTTTGTTTTTAAGTCACTAATATTTGAGTGTTGATTGTTCCTACAGAATATCCTAGCCCATACTTAATAACAGAAATTGGTACCTGGAAGTAGGGAGGGTGTTCTTGCCATAACAAAAAAAATACTAATGTGGTATTGGTTTAAAGGCCAAGTTGTGAGTGACAAATTAACTGTTATCAGAAGCTAAAATATGGACAATTATTATTATGCAATGAATGATGAAACATTTGGTAACTGTATTCGTTGAGATAACCTGGAAGACAGCTAATTACCTAAGGAAATGAGAGTTTTAGGTAAAAAGGATAGTAAACAGGGTGTTACTAGTATATAATGGCAACTACTGATTTCATTTAAAAAAAGAACCAAATGAAAGAAATGAGCCCAGAAAAAAACATGGCCAGTTTGTAAGCAGGAATGAAAGGGAGTCCAGAAATTCACAGACTTCTAGAATTGAATGTGTCAAGCTATTCTCATTTGCAATTGGTAAAATATAAAATTAAGAAAAACTTTAAACAAAAACCTATTAAAATTCAGTGTGGCATCAAGGGAAAAAAAATCAAGGATATGGTCACTGTATCTCATTATTAAAACCTACAAAGAATTAATATGGGCCGAGTGGCTCCAGCCTGTAATCCCAGCACTTTGGGAGGGCAAGGCAGGTGGATCACTTGCGGTTCAAGACCAGCTTGGCCAACATGGTAAAACCCTGTCTCTACTGAAAATACCAAAATTAGCTGGGCGTGATTGCATGCCCCTGCAGTCCCAGCTACTTAGGAGGCTGAGGCACAAGAGTCGCTTGAACCCAGGAGGTAGAGGTTGCATCAAGCCGAAATCTTGCCATTGCATTCCAGCGTGGGTGATAGACTAAGACTCTATTTCCAAAGTATACATATTATATATATATATTTATATATATAATATATATATAATATATATACGCACACATACTTGTAAATACATATATATTTCCCAGTAATCATTTCAGGAGGATAAAATGATTCATGAATAGTAGACTAAGATTGTGGCTCCCTCCACAAAGCCTGATAGGGTCAAGGATACTACAAGGAAATTTTAAAAGGCATGACTTAATAAGGACAATTGTTATGGATATAGGAACATGGAGCTGCCTGGAATCAAGCAGATAAAAAGCTGATTGTTTTTGAAGGAGTTTACTGACCAAAACACCATGAGTCTAGTCTAAAACATATGTGAATGCTCAAGACTTAAATACTCCTTGGGAACCAGGTGTGGTGGTACACACCTGTAATCCCAGCTGCTTGGGAGGCTCAGGAGGGACCATCACTTGAGCCCTGGAGTTTGAGACCAGCCCGGGCAATATTGACAGACTCCATCTCAAAAATACATCATAAATAATGTTTAAAATAATCCTTGGGTATTGGATGCATAAGGGTTGTTTGTACTATTCCCTCTATTTTTGTATATGTTTAAAATTTTACATAATGTTTTTGTAACCCTACCTTTAAAAAAATCATGACAATTGAGATTCTAGCTTTCTACAGTCAGGAATCAGGTTGAAAACATTTCTCAGTTCCCAAGAACAGTATTTTCTCTCTTGCCCACTTCATATGTGCCCAGAGAAGAAAATGGAAATGGACAGACCTCTTAGAAGGTTAAACCAAGGCCCACAGAGAAGAATTAAACTGGAAAGCCCCTCCCAGGTAGCAAAATCAAGCAGAGGTAGATTCAGGTTTTAAGAAAAGTGGCTCTGTAATATATTTAACTTTTACTTTTTATAACTTTTACTTTTTATAACTTTTACTTACATAACTGTAAACACAAAATATCCATAACCACTTTAATGACACCCTGTATAATAAATCACACATACAAAATGCTTATGGCTCCTTGGATGAGTCCCTACAAGTGTGAGGTCCTGAAGTTTAAACTCTATAAGTTTCAAATCAATCCATCTCTAGAACTGGGGCCCTCACATGACCAGTTGGATTTCAGAATTGTCACAGAACAGTGTTGGCTATGTCTTCTATTCTTCAATTTCTGAAAGGGAGTGTTTGCTCTGGTAATCCTGTTCTGATAAGCCCACAATTGTGCACTGGATTTGTGAAGAAAAGATAACTTGTCTTTCTAGGTTGTAGGTCTCTAAATCAAGAGGAACAACTTCCAGATGTAATACAAAGGCTACCATGCATCATCACCTAGGGATCCTGAACTTTGAGTCTGGTTCATTTATTGATTAGAACTTTTAGGTGCCTCCTTGGGAAGGGAAGAGCATATTTTTATGCAAACGATAGTGGTTATTAGTGCTAGGTCACTGAATGAGCACTTCTTACCAATACTTGTTGGACATGTAGTACGACAGAGAAATAAACCTTTGCCTTTTAAGCCACTGGGGGGCCAAGGGGGCAGGTGGGGGTTGCTCTCAAGGTCACCAATCAGTTTGCCAAGTCTTTGGTTCATGGATTTTAGTAAACAGTTTAAGAAATAACATCTAACTATAGCAATATATAATCTTACCCATGTCTAACAATCATCATTTCATATGTTTGAATTATTTTTTCAAGAAAAAATTTAACAGGCTGAAGATTATGTGCATTGCAGGCTTCATGAGCACATTCTAAAAATTCCTGAAAAACAAAAGTAATGCATTTCTACAATACATTATAAATCATGTCATACCTGTCTTAAAAGTAGAGAATTTAAATTTACAAGTTAAAAAAATTGCATCTTCTTTCATTGATGATTTCTTAAACCTTTATTATTTTTTCAAATCAAGAGGAGAAACAGACTTAAAATCCTTTTAATATATTAGTCTTCCCTATTATGATTTATGAATGATCACAGCATCATAGCAATGGGTGTATGCTGCATGAAAACAACTCCTTTTAATAGTGTTTCCCAGAATTTCACTTTTGGTTAGGATATAGAAAGACATGCCAAACAATCCTTTATACTGTAGTAACTAGAAATAAACATGTTTTTTAAAATTATAAAACATTTAAACACATAGAAATACTTTAGATGCAAATAAACATAAAGGTACTCAATTTCAGAAAGGGATGATGAGACTTTCCTAAGTAAGTATAAAGCAATGGCTGTTTTATCCTGGGGACATTTTCTAAGTCTGGACATGATGAATATTGCATTGGGCCCGCTATAGACAGAAGGACTTAGCCAAAGAAAGAAGAAACAAGTAGTGATTTTAATGGTTGTGTGAGCTTATGTGACAGATTTGAATGTGGAGGAGCCCAAATGCCAAGTTGGTTCTCCCCACTATCCATGCTTTTGCTCAGCATGTAGTGACACAAGAGGCCAAGGGCTCAGCTGGAAAGACACACAGTGAGATTTCTTTAGTCTCAGAATACTTAGATCCCAAAATCCTACTACAGGGAAGGGCCAATCCTATGGCAGCACAATTCTTACTCTGAACACATTTGAAGCCAGAAGTAAACAAAACTCTGACTTAGGTCAACTCTCGATTGAATTGATTAGCAATTCAACCTAGTTATCTGAAATAGGAAAAAAAAAATCCATGACTTTTCTGCAGGAAAATAATACTACCTTAGTCTGTACAATTATACACAATAACTTACAATCAAAACTTAAAGTTGGAAGTCCTAGCCAGAGCAAGCAGGCAAGAGAAAAAAATAAAAGGCATCCAAATAGAAAAAGAAGAAGTCTAACTATCTCTCTTCTCTGACAATATGATTCTCTGCCTAGAAAACCCTAAAGACTCTATCGAAAGGCTCCTGGAACTGATAAATGACTTGGTAAAGTTTCAGGAGCAAAATCAATGTACAAAAATCAGTAGCACACACCAATAACATTCAAGCTGAAAGTCAAATCAAGAATGCAATCTGGCCGGATACAATGGCTCACGGCTGTAATCCCAGCACTTTGGGAGACCAAGGCAGGTGGATCATTTGAGGTCAGAAGTTCAAGACCAGCCTGGCCAACATGGTGATACTCCATCTCTACTGAAAACACAAAAATTAGCTGGGTGGTAGTGGCACACATCTGTAATCCCAGCTATTCAGGAGGCTGCAGAGAGTAGAGACCGCACCACTGCACTCCTGTCTGGCCAATAGAGTGAGACCCTATCTCAAAAAAAGAAAGCAATTCCATTTACAGTACACACACACACACACACACACACACACACACACACACACACACTCTCACACTCTAGGAATACATCTAATCAAAGAGGTAAAGATCTCTACAAGGAGAACTACAAAACACTGCTGAAAGAAATTACAGATGACACACACAAATGGAAAAACATTCCATGCTCATGGATTGGAAGAACCAATACTGTTAAAATGGCCATACTGCCCCATGCAATCTATGGATTCAATGCTATTCCTATCAAGCTACCAAGATTACTTGTGACAGAACTAGGAAAACTTATTCTAAAATTCAGATGGAACCAAAAAAGAGACAAAGAAACCTAAGCAACAAGAACAAAGCCAGAGGAATCACATTACCTAACTTCAAACTATAAGACTACAGGAACCAAAACTGTATGGTGCTGGTACAAAAATAGTGACACAGTCCAATGGAATGACTAGAGAACCCAAAAATAAAGCTGCATATCTACAGCCACCTGATCTTTAACAAAGTGGACAAAAGCAATGAAAAAAGGACTCCCTTTTTAATCAATAGTGCTAGGATAGTTTGCAAGCCATATATAGAAAAATGATTGGACCCCTAACTTTCACCATATACAAAAATTAACTCAATATGAATTGAAGAGTGAAGATATCAGACTATAAGAATCCTAGAAGAAAACCTAGGAATCACCATTCTCGACACTGGCCTTGGGAAGGAATTTATGACTAAGTCCTCAAAAGCAATTGCAACAAAAAATTGAGAAGTGAGACCTATTTAAACTAGAGAGCTTCTGCATGATGAAAGAAACTCTCAACAGAGAAAACATAGAACCTACAGAATGGGAGAAAATATTCACAAACTCTGCATCAGCAAAGGTCTAATATCAAGAATTTATAAGGAATTTAGACAATTGAACAGAAAAAAACATTTTAAAATGGGCAAAAGACATGAACAGACACTTCTCAAAAGACGTGCAAGCAGCCAACAAATACACGAAAAAATGTTCAACATCGCTAATCATCAGAGAAATGCAAATCAAAAATACAATGAGATACTATCTCATACCAGTCAGAATGGCTATTACTATAAAATTAAANAAAAAAAAAAAAAAAAAAAAGATGCTAGCAAGGCTGCAGAGAAAAGGGAATGCTCAAACGCTGTTGGTAGGAATGCAAACTTAGTTCCGCCACCATGGAAAGCAGTTTAGAGATTTCTCAAAGAAATTAAAACAGAACTACCATTTGACCCAGCAATCCCATTACTGTGTATTTATCCAAAAGAAAATAAATGTTTCTACCAAAGAGATACATGCATGCATTATATTTATCCCAGCACTATTCACAATAGCAAAGACATGGAATCACCCTAGGTGTCTGACAGTGGATTGAATAAAGCAAATGTACATATATGCCATGGAATACTATGCAGCCATAAAAAAGAACAAAATCATATCCTTTGCAGCAACGTGAATGCAGCTGGAGGCCACCATCCTAAGCAAATTAACACAGGAACAGGAAACCAAATACTGCATGTTCTTATGAGTATTGGGTACTCATGAACTCTTGGGTAATATGCATAGTGCCTGGGTGATGGGATCAATAATATCTCAAACTTCAGTATCATGCATATGCCCATGAAACAAACCTGCACATGTACCCCTTGAATCTAAAAGTTGGAATTCCTTTTTAAAATAAATAGGCCAAGTGCAGTGGCTCACGCCTGTAATCTCAGCACTTTGGGAGGCCAAGGTGAGTGGATGGCTCGAACCCGGGAGTTTAAGACTAGGCTGGGTAACATAACAAGACCTCCTCTCTACCAAAAACACAAAAAATTAGCCAGATGTGGTGGCACATGCCTGTAGTCCTAGCTACTCAGGAAGCTGATGTAGGAGGATTGCTCGAGCCCAAGAGCTGGAGGCTGCAGTGAGCCATGACTGCACTGCTGTACTCCAGCCTGGGTGACTGAGCAAGACCCTGACTCTAAATAGTCAGTTCACAACAAAATAATTAAAAAACAAAAAAAAAACAAAAAAAACCAAAGTCATGAGAAGCAGCTGATGACCAAGAGAAAAAACAGTAAACCAACTCACAGACGACACAAATGTCATAATTAACAGTAAGAATTTGATAATACATTTACAAAGTATCAAAGAGAATAGATTATAAGACAAAAAATAGAGAAAAATTAAGAGAATTTTAGCAGAGAAAAGGAATCTCTAAAAAGAACCAATTGGACACACTAGAACTTAAAAAAAAATCAAAATATGTGAAATTAAGAATTCATTGAATGGGCTTATCAGCAAACTGGACAAAGCCAAAAAAAGGACCATTAACCTCGAGGATAGGTCAATAAGAAAATATCCAAACTAAAGTACAGAGAGAAAGGAATGAAAAACAAAAGAAAAAAAATAGAGCATGAGAGACACATGAAACTATATAAAATGGTCTAATAAACATGTCACTGAAGTTCCAGAAGGAAAGGAGAGAAAAAATTAGGACAGAAAAATATATAAAAAGATAATCACTGAAAATGTTCTGGCTGAGTACAGTGGCTCATGCCTGTAATCACAGTACTTTAAGAGGCTGAGCCAGGAAGATTGTTTGAGCCTGGAGCTTGAGACCAACCTGGGCAACAAAGCAAGATCTTGTCTCTACGAAAAATAAAATAATTATCTGGGTGTGGTGGCATGTGCCTGTAGTCCCAGCTACTTGGGAGGCTGAGGTGGGAGGATTTCTTGAGCCCAGGAGGTTGAGACTGCAGTGGGCTATGATCATGCCACCGTACTCTAGCCTGGGTGACAGTGAGACCCTGTCTGTAAAAAAAAGAAAAAATTTTCTGGCAAAGCACATCAACCCACTGATTCAAACAGCATAGCAAATCCCAGACCATAAAGTACAAAACAAAGCTAGGCTTCTAAGCACAACACTGAAAGGCAGGAGTCAATGAAGTAACATCTTTAAATGCTGAGGGCAGGGTGGGGTGGGGAGGAGATACCTGCCAATCTAGAATTCTATACCCGTGAAAATATTCTTCAAAATTAAAGATTACATAAAGACATTTTCAGACAGACAAAAGGTGAGGGAATTTGTTGCTGGAAGACACACATACACACAAGAATTACTAAAGGAAGTAATTTAGGTTAAAGATAAAAGATCCCAGAAGAAAACACATATCTGCTGGAAAGAATAAAAGCACTAGAAAGGGTAGTGTAAAAGCCTTTAAAAAAATACTAATAGTTAAAGCAGAAAATAATAACAATGTATTGTGGTGCTTAAAAATATATAGAAGTAAAATATATGAAACAATAGCACAATGGGCAGGAGTGAGTGAATAATGAAACTATACAATTTAAGGTGCTTAGATTTTTTTGTGAACTGGTAAAATGCGAACAACGTAAAACTGTAATAAGCCAAGGATATATACTGCAATCTGCGGACACTAAGGTGAAACTAAAAAGCCAATAGAGAAGATAAAGCGGAGTGGTAAACATTTTTTGAAATTCAAAAGAAGTCGGTAAAGGAAGAACAAATATAGAACAGATTTAAAAGCAAGATGGCAATTTAGTACTATTTTTCAAACTGGAATCTATGGATTTATTGCTGTACTCATAAGAGGACATAGAGTTCAAGAAAATATTGAAATTTTCTATTTTCATTTTGGTGTTTAAAAATCATATTAGCATATCCTGACTCATCTTGATAGTCACCTTAACCTGCCATAAAATGCAGGTATTAGTATTTGAGCATGAGAACTTAAAAAACAGACCAAAAAATAAAAATGCCTTTAAGTGAACTGATGTCTTGATGATATGACAGCTCAAACAAAAAGATTTTGCAGTTATATCAGTAAAGAGAAGAGGTGAAAGAATTGAACCATCACTTGGCAATAGCTGGTATGTACATGCAAACTCAAAGAATCTTCACTGTTCATTTCACGGTGGAAATTCCCATAAAGTGACAAATTAGTTTCAGCCACATATCACCTATTTCATTAACTATGTTAAATTGAATTTGAGATTGTTTTGTTTGTAGTTTTTTAAATTTTTTTATCTTTATCTAGGAAGTCTCAGTCTGTACCCCAGGCTGGAGTGCAATGGCACAATCTCACTGCAACCTCTGTCTCCTAGGATCAAGCAATTCTCCTGTCTCAGCCTTCTAAGTAGCTAGGACTACAGGTGTGTGTCACCATGCCTCGCTAATTTTTGTATTTTTAGTAGAGATGGCGTTTCACTATGTTGGTCAGGCTGGTCTCAAACTCCTGACCCCAGGTGATCCACCCGCCTCAGCCTCCTAAAGTGCTGGGATTATAGGCATGAGCCACCATGCCTAGCCTATGTTATTTATGAGACAGAGTCTCACTGTTGCCGAGGCTGGAGTGCTGTGGTGCCATTTAGGCTCACTGAGACCTCCGCCTCCCGGGTTCAAGTGATTCTCTTAGCTCAGCCACCCAAGTACCTGGGAACCTAGGCACCTGCTACCACGCCCGGCTGATTTTTTTGTATTTTTAGTAGAGATGGGGTTTCACCATGTTGGCCAGGCTGGTGTCGAACTCCTAACCTCAGGTAATTCACCTGCCACAGCTTCCCAAAGTGCTGGGATTACAGGCATGAGCCATTGTGCCTGGCCTGTAATTTTAAATTTATTCTGGTTTTATATAACAGCTATAAGCAGCAGACAAGCATATACATATTTAGGCTTCATTATAATGTGTATAATAAAATTTAAATGAAATAGGAAATGTAAATGGTTTGTGTCTTATTTTTATTTGGTATTTAAAAATTTTAATTGACAAAAATTGTATATATTTAAGGTGCAGCATGATGATTCGATAAACATATACACTGTATAATGATTACCACAATCTAATTAACATATCTATTACTGCCGGGCGCGGTGGCTCAAGCCTGTAATCCCAGCACTTTGGGAGGCCGAGGCGGGTGGATCACGAGGTCAAGAGATCGAGACCATCCTGGTCAACATGGTGAAACCCCGTCTCTA